ACATTCAAAGTGACAATAAAGTTATTCTAAGTCTCTTCTAAAATATCTTGTATTGTGCTATAGGTAGCTACCACAAACACACCACTTCAGTTTCAGCATGCTTTATTTACATGTGATTCAAAGGGTTTTTGAAAAGATTATTAAACAAGAGGAAAAATAAGTTAATACATCACACATTTAAAATATTCCTTCATAGATTAACATTACACTTCCAGTAAGACTTCATTTAGGACTTCAGACAAATCTCAGTAAAATATATTCACAGCCATATTTATAAACAAAATAACACAATTCAAGATTCCCACCCATCTACATGAATACACTAAGTTGGGGGGGCAGATTTGGTTATGATCCCTGGGTACACAAGATGAATGGAATGCGAGCGTGACTGCATCACAATTGTGCCATTAAGAAGCGTAGACAACACATGCTGGGACTATATATGCTGCCTTTGAAAGAATGAACCTGACCCTCACATCAGAAAATATTTGGTATCACAATCCATACATCTGACCACGGGATGGAAAGTGCTGATCATGCGCTATAAATGCACTTGTGTATACACTTAATGGAAACATGTCTCCATGCCATCAATAGTTTGCCTTCAATTTCAAACAACAAACATGTTCTCAATTAAATATAGTGCAAATCAAAATTAGGAGCAAAACAGGCAGATTCACCATGATGCACACCACTTTTTTTTGTTTAATGGCCTCACTATATATCCACCAGAATACAATCTCTTGGCACACCATTCAAGACAGTGACATCTAACGTTGAAGAATAACTGGTTCATGACGAAGAGAATTTAAGGCCAGCAGGCAGCAGCCACGAAACAATGCTCCAAAAGTGAAGATTGGAATTGTTCCTCCCCTCCTAGTACTAAACATCCACATGATTGTCGGCACAATGGGGGCACCAATGGCCAACAGATCTATGAGGAAGTTGCTGCTCCAATACCTTTTGACAATGTTCCCCTCGGACAACTTTGTCACATTTCCAAGGGTTGTGGTGTGATAGTCTATGAAATCAAGTTCCTTCATGACTCGGTTTTTGTAATATCGAGAATCCATGGCCCTGGGCATGGGTTCCAATGGAGATAAGAGGATAGCAGAATTTGGATCTGTTGGTGTCAAATCCACAAGCAAGTCTGAGATATTTTCAGGGCAAGATACACTGGATTCCACCAAAACTGGAGATGGGTTGATTGGACAAACATCTTGTGTCTTGAATATGTTCTCAATCAGCTGCTCCACGCCTGACCTGTACAGCAATACATCAGCCTGAACAGCTTGTTCCATGGCTTCACTATAATTATCATCTTCTACTTGGGAGTTGCTTACGCCTTGCACAAGATCCAGGTGATTGAACGTAGAAGATGTAAAAAGAGTCGGGTGACCAAATTCAGGAGTGGTAGCAAACATGGTTTCTTCAAAGATGTCATTCCCATTCACAATATCATCACTGAGCAGTACACCACTATCTGCCTCCACTGAATGGTTCTCTGTGAACATGCTGTCTTCTGTCTTGGAATAAGTTGTACTCATGCTGAAAGACTTGTCAGGTGACAAGTCACATTCATATTCTAAGCTCTGATCCTCACGAGAAGAGCCGCTTTGGGCCAATTCCATGCTCTGAAGCAAAGACTCCAATTTCTTGTTCTGGATGTTGATGTCCACAAAATACTTCTGAATCCCTTTGTCTTTCTCAGCCAAGCTATTTTTCATCGTTTCAATGACCTGCTTGAGTTGCTTTATCTCCTTCCGAGCTTCTTTCAAGGCAAGCTGGGCCTCCACACGATGACATTCTTCTTCAATCCAGTCATCCCGCATGCGTGCCAGTTGTGATTTAAGTTCCTTGATTTCGCTTTCTCTAAGGAGGGGGAAAACAAAAAACAAGTTATGCACTTTTGAGATTCCAACTCTGAGGATTAAAAACTGGTGATTAATAAGGAAGACTGTGTACAACAGTGGAGAGGTATTTCTTTTGTCTTGTTTGGGGACAGATTAATATAGATCACATGGCAAGTGTTTTTCATAGTCTAATAGGAACTTTTTCCTAAGTTGCTGGTTGCCCCAGCTATAAAGTAGGCAACCATATGTACATATATTTTTCTTCCCAATTGTTTTCTTGTAACCCCTTTTCCTGTGGTTAAATTTCACTTGACAAAACTACCTATTTCACTGCAGTTGTGTGGTTATGCTGCAGTTTTGATAATTCCATTATTTTGCAAAGGGGTGACTTGTATTGGGAAACAGTAACCGGAGGTGATACGATGCATACGAGTTTCAGTTCTATAAATTTATCTCAAATGTAAGTCTGTCTAAATCTATAAGAACAGGTGAATAGGCAATCAGGTGTCCTTCAGATATTCTGGACAACTATTTCATTTTAGAAATTTAAAGTAAGAGGGTGCAGGATTGCTTACTCCTGGTTTACAGCTCTGGATCAACCAAAGGTCTTCAGTCTTTCCCAAAATTTATCTAGAGGTGGTACAAATTCAGAGCCTTTTCAGTAAAATACATGTATCTATTTATCTATCTCATGTTGATTTTCCCTTCCAAAATTGCCTGTCTCTCAATCTAGTTACTTAAGCTTCCAAAATATTGTTTAGAAAATCTGTAATTTAGGTTTATAGTTGACATCTGTCTAGATAATGTAAAATACCCTAATCACAAACCCCCAAACAAGCTTTGCCTTCTAGCCTTTGTTTCTAGCCAGAACTTTCACCTTTCTTGAAGTCTGCTCTCTGATTCCTTCAGTTTTGTTTTCAGGTGCCTCACTGTAACTTCCTTTTGTTGGAGAGGGGTCAGGTACTGTTCTGGACTGGGTGGCTTAATCCCATGGTTCTCACCGCAAGAATTGTATCGTGCTGGCCGCCTGCAGTAGGGAAAAGGTTGTTATGCTTGCAGAACTGTGTTGCATTCTGCATAGATGACTTTAATTGCATTCTTATATGCTGATGTTTCACAATTTTAATTATTTTAAGATGTGTGGACTTCAGTTCCCAGAATTCTGCAGCCAGGAATTCTGGGAATTAAAGTCCAAAAATCTTAAAATAATTAAAATTGTGAAACATCAGCATATAAGAATGCAA